GCCCGTTTTTGGAGTATAACAAGGGGGTGTAATGAGCTTTTATAGTTATTGCCCCAAACTTCTACACAGTAGTTTAGATATGGCAAAACTAATGAACCATATAATAGAAATAATGCATTGTAATTTAAGAAAAACTTTGCTTTATTAATGATTGAGATGCTTTTGGAGACTTTACCTTGTATGTGACTTATGTGTGGTTTCCAGCTTAATTTACTGTCAATGGTGACTCCTAAGAATTTAATTTCAGATACTGTATCTAAGACTACACCGTCTATATTTACTGGGTCTGGTTTTCCGTTATAACTACCAAAGAACATTACTTTTGTTTTATTTAAGTTGAGGGACAATTTGTTAATGTCCATCCATGTTTTCAATTTCCTTAGTTCACAATTTATGTTAGTTACTAAATTACTATAATTGTCGTTAGAATAGAAAATGTTTGTGTCATCTGCGAAAATGACTAATTTTAATAATTTTGACACATTAAAAATGTCATTAATATATAAATTGAACAACTTTGGTCCCAAGACAGATCCCTGTGGGACCCCACAACCAATGTCCAAATATCCTGATATAAACTCCCCCATCTTCACATACTGTTGTCTCCCAGTTAAATAGCTTTGAATCCAGCTCAAAGCCACTCCCCTTATGCCGTATCTATCTAATTTTTTTAATAATATAGAATGATTAAGTGTATCAAATGCTTTTTTCAAGTCAATGAATATTCCAGCTGCGTGTTTCTTTCCCTCTAAGCTATTAGTAATCTCTTCTATTGCATCGATTATGGCCATTGAAGTTGACCTTGCTGCTCGAAACCCATACTGACCTTCATTGATTAGTTTATGCTTATCTATGAAATTATCCATTCTACTGTTATAAAGTTTCTCTAAGATTTTGGAAAACTGGGGGAGCAGAGAGACAGGTCTGTAGTTAGTGAAGATGTGTTTGTTCCCATTTTTATGTATAGGTATAACTTTTGCAATTTTCATTTTATTTGGGAATGTTCCTGTTTGAAACGATAAGTTGCATATGTAGGTTAATGGTTTCACTATACTATATATAATTTGTTTAACCAGTGTCATATCTATATCAAAACAGTCTGTAGACGATTTGTTCTTACACCCGTTAACGACATCTATTATTTCTGTTTCAGTTACTCCAAACAAAAACATCGTTTTTGAATTAATGTCTATCAATGACTCCATTTCGTTGCTACTACACTCCGGAATTTCTGCTGCCAGATCTGGTCCAATATTTACAAAAAAACGATTAAGCTTTTCCACAATATCATTCATATTATGATTGTCATTGTTCCCATCAGTGAAATAGTTTGGATATGAATTATTTTTTGCATTACCTTTGATTATAGTGTTTAGTATTCCCCATACCCCTTTCATGTTGCTCTTGTTTTTATATAATAGATTGGTATAATATAGTTTCTTACTATTCCTTAATATATTGGTCAGTTTATTTTTATATATTTTATATCTGCTTTCAGATTCATCTGTTCTTAATCTAATGAATTGTCTATATAGAGAGTTTTTCTTCTTACAAGCATTATGTAAACCCTTGGTTAGCCACGGGTTTGTTGAAGTTACTTTGGACCAAAATAAACCATGAAGTAGGACTGTGTTATACCATTAATAATGTTTGTCTTTTGTGGGGTTGTATCATTGTTTTTTTGACCAGTAGGCAAAAAATTCAATAATTTCACAGTAAAATACTGCTAAAAAATATCCAAAGATCAGTCAGTATACTGACATATCAATACAGAATTATTAACTATGTTACAGCACAGTATCTTTACACAAAACAGACCTTTAACACCATCTAAGCCAAAGTCTGAGGATTTAAAGTAGTGTTTGAAAATAGAGGATTTAGACAGGGGTGAAATGGGTGACTCAGAAATGGACAAAGGGGAAGAAGACGAACAAACGAGTTCTTAACATCTCTGTTAATTGAGCTATTTCGTCTTTGATGTGGAATAATGTTGTAAAAAGATACATTTGTGGAATGTAATCTTGTAATATCTAACATAGACAGAAGTAACAAAATGTGTAACATTTCAAGTGTTGTCCCTTTCACTTACAAGTACTAATAATAAGGTGATACAAGTATGTAAGTGAGCTTTAGTCCACGGACTAAAGCCAAGGTTCTTTAGTGCTCCTTAGCGACCGGGGGAGGAGGGGGACATCGGGTCTGAGTGGACCATGTTCTCCTCTCCTCCTCTATCGCGAATGCAGCAGCTCGTAGCTGTGGTCGCAAGGTCTCTGGTGCTGGTCCCGGCGGCAACTCTCGAACCCAGGCAGCTGTCCAGTACCGGCTGGCCAAGCCCGGGCTGTTGCAGAGGCAAAAAACCGGGACTGGGAGGAGTTCGGAGAGTTCATTGAGCATGACTATCGGTCGGCCTCAAAGAAATTCTGGCAAACTGTCTGGCACCTCAGGAAGGGGAAGCCGTGCTTTGTCACTACTGTGTACGGTGCGGGTGGAGAGCTGCTGACCTCGCCTGGGGATATTGTCGGGCGGTGGAATGAATACTTCGAGGTTCTCCTCAATCCCACATCCTCTGTTCCGGAGGCAGAGGCTGAGGATGTTGGGGCGGATACTTCCATCTCCCTGGCTGAGGTCACCAAGGTGGTTGCCAGCCTCCTTGTGGCAAGGCTTCGGGAGTGGATCAGATCCGTCTTGACTATCTACAGTCTCTGGATGCTGTAGGACTGTTTTGGCTGACACGTCTCTGCAACATCGCGTGGCGATCGGGGGATGTACCAATGGAGTGGCAGACTGAGGTGGTGGTCCCTCTCTATCAGCAGCAGCCGAATCTCGAGTGCATCCAATTTCTAAAATCAACCTTCTTACCCTTCACCTCTCTTTCTTATCATTCCTATAGTCATTGAAACACAACCCTAAGTGCATTTTAAACAGCGACGCTACTAACTTAACTACATTTTTCAGTAGCTTGACCGTAGCGTCACTATTTACAAAACCAAGTCACTTTTCTGTAGCTAAGCTGTTTTATTGCACAAGTAGCGCGGTAGCGTCCTCCAAAGATATTTTCTTACAGACATGTCTGATGTTCATATATTACAGCATTTTCACGCGGCCAAAACAAACAAATTAGGAAGACAGAATGCTAATGCGCATGCCTTGGTGACGGCGCATACGCACACACTCGCACCTACTCACACGCACTCACACACTCCCGCACACACACAGCCACACACACAGCCACACACATATATGCGCGCGCGCTGCTGGAGGGAAGTGTCAGGACCGCAGAAAGCCCAGGAGCCGCGGTCGCGGAGGACTCTCAAACTACCGTGGCCATACCTCCAAAAGTACGTCACTTTAGTGGAGACGAGCGAACAGAAATTTGTTTTCAGATGCTTACTTTGTAATCCCAAGAGAAAGTTCCTCTGTGACTGATAATAAGGTTGTATGATGGTCGTTACGATTGTTCTGTTCCTTAGCACAGTTCATTTTTATACTTGTATACTGTATATGAATTTTCTTTTCAATTTCGAAGGGCATTCTTGCTTAAATAGAGCCATTACTCGGCTCTGATTGACATTTGTTATGTGTATATTGGGCTATTGTATTTCATATACATTTAATAAAAAACAGTTCTTATGAAATATATGTTAATTGGTGATGGCTCATTGCTATAATTTCTGGATTTATTTTATTTACAAAAGGCATTCTTGTGTTTTATTTTTGGTGTTTTGGGCTATTGTGCAATAAATATCTAAATTCTAACCTTTATCTGATAGTCCGAAAAAATTGCATGGACTGCAGTTTGTTTAATTGAAAGTAGCTTCTACATATCAAGACACTTTTGAAAGAATTTTGTAACTTAGCTTGCTACATTTTTATGGGTAGCTTCTGTGTAGTGAAGCTGAATTTATTGTAGAGTAGCTTGTAGCTTAGCTCGCTACACAAATCAAGTACAGTAGGTCCCATTTCGTTTTACATGTTTGAGGAGATGCTAAAGTTAAACTAAATAGTTTTACAATCACTTTTCTGCAGTTCGTCTCTTTTCACAAAAACCTCATTTTCTAATTTTTTTGTCTAAGACTGGTGCTTTTTGTCACACTCTCCTCTTTTCAACTGGAGATCACAGGAGAACGAAACAAACTAAGAACAAACTTCTTTTTGTTGCTGAAAGTAGACAGTCCTGTCTTTCAGACTCTGGTTTCATATTTTTCATAGCACACAATATTCTGTGAGTCTTAAAAATCAGTGAAGTCATCAAAAAATGGCTGGCAGTCAATGAGAACCTCTTTTTCGTGTACAAAAATTACATAAAATTACAGATGATAAAACAGTCACATACAGATGATAAAATAGTCACATACAGATTTATACAACAGTAACACACAATTTCATAAAAATACGGATTATAAAAACAGTTACATTTCACTGAAGATGTCTCAATCTGGATCTAAAAGCATTCAAGGAAATAAGATCAGATCATTTCTAGTCTTTTTGCAACACGTTCCATGTAGAAGGAGCAGTTTTTTTTTCCCAGTTCTGTGCAAAAGGAACAGAGAGCAACAAACGATCATTTGATCCAAACCATGAGAACATGTCTCTGTGAGTAAACGACAGATGTAAGAGGGCAGCAGACCAAGCCTTAGAAACTAAAGTGCACCAGAGTCCAAACCTTCTGTGGACAAAGATCCCACTCCAGAATATCACTCACAGTGAGGCTTTGCAGTTCGCAATGAATGAAACATTTAAAACCATTTTTTTCCTATATTTAAGCGCAGTCTTACTGATGAAACTGTGTAAAATATTACATTAAATATACTTCTTTAGGAATGAAACCTCTGCCTTGTTATTGATGAATACTTCGGCTTACTACGCTACTGTGTGGTGTGGTCATTTGTGGTGGTACTTGGAGAGGCAAGTATTTTCTGAGGGGGTACTTGGTGTGAAAAGTTTGAGAACCACTGGTCTATGGTGTCTTATTTCTGATCGCTCCACTTCCTGTTTTTCAGCTGGAAGCTGAGTTGGCCCTTTGTGAACGGGAGGGGGCCGAACTGCAGGAGTACGCCAACCAGGTGCTGCAGCAGATTGCTGACCGCTGCCCTGACATCCTGGAGCAAGTGGTGAACGCACTGGAGGACAGCAGCTGACCACACCCCGCCCCCAGCCGCCCACTGACTTTACAACCACTGTCAAAGCGACCAGGCCTGTGCTCTGACCGCTCTGCAGAGAGAGACCCAAGAGACGGGCTTCAAAGCACTGGGGTTTAGTGCTCATTTGGGGCTGTTCATTATCTGCGTTCCTTTTGGCCGTTAAACACTTTTGCATTTCATGTTCTGGAATCTTGTTTTTAAGTTGTCATTATAAATCTAACAAGTGAGATAGAGAAAGGTCAGGCAGTGGTTCTCAACTGGCGTGATGCAAACATTGTAAAATGTTTCTACTGCACACACACACACACACAAAGGTTATCGAGAAAGTAAAATTTTCCAGAAAGAGGAATTACAGTAATACCAAGAAATTTGTGCATCAAGGAATTTTTACACTTAAAAAAAAAAGCTTAGATTTTACAACAGCAAAAACATGCAAATCCTCAGAAAATTAGATACAAACCTAAGTTTGCCCCATTGGCAGAGATTTGATGAAATTATTCCTTAAAGGAGCTATACCCGTTTCGGCAAGGTTTTCTCAGTTTGAATGTTTAGCACCGCCCCCCATCTCGCTCACAGGCTTCTCATTTCCCCTACGCTCTCCTCCCACGAAGCCATTGAGTTTTATTTGCGATCTGATGCATATACAAACATTAGCATCAGCACAAGTTCTTGTAAGCTGTACAACAATCACTGATGAAATAGTACAAAAGCAACGCACTAGATAACAAAATATACAGTGCAATAACTGAAAGATTACCACCAGTTTTGCGTCCAAATGTAGTCCGAGGCAGTCCCGCTCCCGCAGGTCTCTCCAGAGGATACGATGTAAGCTAACTATGTTCACCCGGGCTTGATTTCTTCTTTGATAATTTTTTTGCTTTAGTTCCCTCTTCTCTTCCTCACTGTTGTGTTGTTTGGACTGTTTTGCTGTGTATACAGTTACAGCCATAGGAAGTATAACCACTTTCTGCTAACATGCTACTGTGTTTACTTGCCCTGCAGACGCTAGAGGAGGAGTGGCCTGTTCATAACAGCGCCGCTCCTCGTTCTGTGATTGGAGGAGAGCTTGCGTCACGCTAAGTTTCTACTCAGCACTTTTTACGGCCAGAATTCAATGAGCTCAAGTTTTCAATTAAATTAAGGATTTCAATACAACTTGTATGTAGTAATAAGCATTTTTATGAACTCATTAGAAAAAAATTGGGTATAGCTTCTTTAATTCCTTGTTTTTTGTGTCAAAAAATCATACATCAAACATACTGTATTTACAGTATTTTTTCTATTCTACACTTAAGTATTTAGGTCGTGGTTAGTCCTGACACATTTGAGGTACATTAGACCTTCTGTGTTTGACCCATCATGCAGCCATGGGAGCCATCTCCACATGTCAGGACTCTCGGAGCTTGTGAATTGTATCTCTTGGTGCATCTCTGGGTGAAAAATGATCCATCAAGACGATGGATCATTTTGTAATATTATTTTGATTATTTTTCCAAATTCAAGAAATATTTTTTCCAGATTTTGTTTATTTCTGGTCTGTTATCTTCACTACTGAGTTTTAGTAAAGGGACTTTATAAGTTGTCCTGACTAATGTCGAGGTCACAGATTTTCCAGTTACTGCAGTGTTATTTGATGGCTCATTGTGTTTTGTCAAAAATGACAAAACACATTTGTCATTTTTGCTGCTATTATTTGCTTATGATTCTTTTCTGCACCAGCCTTGTCTCAGCTGTCACAGAGAACAGAATTAGCTTTTTTTACATAAACCACAGATGTCATGGTGCCATATTAGACTCAAATATGTCATTTTATCATTGTACATTGTTCCAAAAGGGACAAATCAAAAAGAGAAATAGAATTTGGTTAGTATTTTACCAGTTTTGATACATCTGATCTGACTCTGATTCAGTCACTGAACCCGTTTCCACATGTTGTCAAGAACTTCAAGAACTTTTACAATGACTTGGTGACTTGTTCTTGCACCATGCAAGCACCATGATGTGCTGCTGCCCGCTAATTACAAATACTTGCTTCAAATCTGATGCCATCCACAGTTAATTTCAGTAAATAACTAAATGGTGTAATTCAATTATATTTATGAAACGAAAGTAATAATTAATCATTTGTAACTAATCACTCACCATACAAAAGCAAGAGACCTACAGTATGATGTTTGCATGGACCAAGATCCTTCACAACACAGGTTCCATTATGCCAATTTTTGCATTTGTGATTCAAGTTAATATGCACTTAAGAATTATTTTGCACATCAACATAAGCTTTTAAATATCTGTGACCAGAACGAGCTGAGCATGGCATTTTCTTCATTTTCCATAACGTTTATTTTATTGTAAATTCTTTGTTTTCTGTCACTTCAACCAAGACCATTTCTACAGATTAAGAAAAGAATTGAAAAATAAACGTGCTGTTGCTCTCCGTGTGATAAGCTAAAGCTAACAGAGCATCTGCCGCTGTGGTTGGTGTACGTCCTGCTCCACACAGGCTCCAGGTTTACTCCTCTGTTTTATACTCTTCACATGTTGTCACTGATTTACTAGTGATGCATCCTTTGTGTCTTTAATGTGGATTGGAAATATAAATAAGAGAATGAAAATAAAGTATGGATTCATGTTGGTCTGAGAATTTTTTTGTTTGTTTGGAGAGCTAAGTTTGAATCTTCTTTAAGTGTCAAAGTTTAGGCTGTTGCATGCGCTAGTCTATCCTTCATGAAGTTTTCCTTGTAAAACATGTTGATGTTGATATTGATCTACGTACAGTAGTTCATAATGGAGTGATTTCCTAGGGGCCTGGGGGCCCTGCGCTGTGACTTTAGAAGACAAGCTTCTCATACTAGTACTAGTTCATACTGCTGCGTGAGGAAGGAAGCTGCCTGAGAGCTTCTCCTTCCTCCCTGGATGCGCAAAAAAATGTATTAAAGACGCTAGGCCGCTATTTTTCCAGAAAAGGTTAGGGGGCCAAAGGTTTCATGCCTTAGAGAGAAAAACATGTCAGAAAAACGTGTTTGTCAGATACAAGCCCTTTAATGCCTTATATTTCAGTGTCCGTGAGTGCATTATGCATTGGTTATAGCACGTTTTTGGACATTCAAAGACGCATCTCTACTTCTTTAGCCACAGCTGCCCTGGGGCACACTGACAGAAGTGAGGCAACCAGTATGTGGCATCAGCACCAACCATTCATGCACACATTCTAATGTGGGTGAAGTGTTTGGCCTACAGGACACAACAACAGTTTTGGACTTTACAGCCGCAGCCAACCTACTGTGGCACCTGGTGTTCCCGAAGGTCTCTCGTCACAATACTAACCAGGCCCTACCCTGCTTAGCGTCTGATGGGATCTGTCTTTCACATGAAGGTATGACCACAAAACCTTGCAATATCACCACCACCGTGTGTGGAGGGAGTGGAAAATGCTGCGAAGCATCTTTGGGCGCCATGAAACGTGCAGTTTCTTGGAAATACAACAAGCAAACCAGGTGACCGGTGTGATTATAATTCATTAATTAATGTTTTGAATTACGTCCGTGGTTATTTGATACTGGCATCATTGTAACGACCTGTCTTGCATAGCGACCTCTGCTGGTCAGGTGTGAAAATTGCATTTGTGTAGGAGACTACAAGAGGAAGAAGTATGCTGGTCCCCAAGGCACTAAGACACTGTGCAGACACATGCAGTCACATACTGACGTCAGGGTTTGTTTTGACTATTTTATTTTGACACGACATGGTCCAAACACAACAGCAAAAAAAAAAGCAAAACTGAAAATGACAACAAAACACAACCAAAACATGGTCAAAAGCCATGGTTTTTGCATGTTAAATCCTAAATCATAGTGTTTTATGACCCTGCAGCTGCAGCTCTCACAGCTTCTGCACTTGACCTTTGCCCCCTCCTGTCCGGACCAGTGCTGTTACAGGACCAGGCCATCTTTTCAACCACAAACACAGATAGGAGGTTCTCAGAGATTCAGCAGTCTCCACATTTTTTCCACCTCCAGCGGCGCGAATGAAAGCCAGCCGTGAGAGACGTAGCTGAAAAACACATTTATGTCTAAGATTTATGTCACTTGCAGTTATTTTGAAGCCATACATCTACACTTAAATTACAGATTAAAGGGTAGGGATGTAATTAAAGCTGGGGTACCTAACCTTTGAAACCACAGAACTCTCGCTCTTAAAACAGTCTGGTTTTATCACTACTTTTTACATGCATGTGGCCTCTGTTACATCAGCTTTTCAGACAGACAGGAGAAAAATAGGATCATCCTCAATCAGCTCTCAATTCGGAAAGGATTATGTTTTCTAAAAAAAAGAAAGACAGAATTGTGTTGTCTGATTTGGTAACCAACTTCAACGCATTTAATTACAGCACTGAGTATTGTCAAAGTTTTACAATGTTTTATTTCACTTTATCTTTTTAAATTTGGAATCTGAATGTGGACACTTTTTTATCAAGTCGCATCAAATTTAACTATTTGTAATGAAAATAAATTTGCTTTCAAAACAGCTCCTAGAGTTTTCACTCGTGTATGTGTGGCCTCAGATTTCTTTATCATACTATTCTTTCAAATGAGCCGTGAACCGTAAACTGGTAAATAACTTCAAGCCAACGGAATCATTTCCCGTCTTCAGCACAGTGCTCGGTTTGGAAGATGTAGTACTATCCTACTATACCATTTATAGCATTGTATGTCAAAAGAAGTATGTTAAATTTGATTCTTTACTTCACAGGAAGTCAGTGGAGAGATTTTCACACCAGAGTTAATGTGTCCTCTCCTTTTAGGGCCTATCCAAGCAGGGCATTACTGTAGTCAAGCTTTGCTTTGAGGTGACAAATGCATGGATCAGTTTTCTGTATCTTTAGGAAGGGCATTCCTCCTTTTAGCTCTTACAAAAATGGAAATAAGCCGTTTTAGTTGCTTGGTTTATACTTGCTCTGAAGGAGAGTTATTGATCAATAATGACTCAAAGATTCT